GATCTCATCTTCAGAGAGGGGGATCAGCAAGCCCTCGTTCTCATCGCTCGATATTTTCTCGTGGGAGGGCCAAAAAGTATTAGCCAGCCTAAAACCCACCTCGGGTTTAGCGGATAGAAGAGAAGAGAAAAAATGGACCACATGTTGCATAATCACAGGCTGGTCAGAAACCCAGACGTCATTGATAAGGAGGCTATCAATCAAACATCGCCGACACCTACCATTCACAATAGCAAAGAAATAGGACGTGGGCGAGTCACCCTTTAAAGTCCAATTAACAATGCCTCTTTGCCTCCAATAAACTTCCTCCTGACGATGGTAACACACTTTGAAACAAAATAAATCTACATCAAAATAAAATAACGCTTGCCTAATACAACACATATGTTACTACTCATTAGGGCATCAACATAGACTAAAAACAACTATGCTGGTCACTAGTGACCAGTCCAAGAGGATCCCTATAGGCTAATAGTAAATCTTGTAGACACGAGGTGACGAAACCTCGCGCACAGTATCATGCGCACATTTGTACGCGCAGGCCACTAATACCAGACAGCCTCGGTCGTGGGAGGGGCGGCACCCCATGTGAGTCCTTTTCAGATGTCATGTGCTGTACTCTCGAAAAAAAGATGTCATGTGCTGGCTGGGTGGTCTCGCATCGCACGTAGTGGCCGGCCTCGAGCGCCTCCGTCCCCCGACGTAGGATCCACGTCGCGCCCGAGAGGAGAAAGGCTAATTTTAGCCCCGCGCGCCTGCGGCTCTGCCGCGGACGGTGAGCGCGACAGAGAGCCGCCAAGGGCCGTCGGTGGCTCGCTGTCATCGGTGCAATCCGTTCCCCGTGCCGTCAAAAGTCAAAGTCGTTAATTCCCGCCCCGTACCAGCACTGGTTTTCTTCCCGTGGTGTGGTTGGCTTCGGAATTGTGCGCGCCACGGCATGCATGGACGCACGGCTACCTCATCATTCCGGGTGCATGGACAACATAGGTGTGGCCAACTGGTGCCTATAATTGCTCGTGTGATTCACTATGTGTCCGCCGGCCCCGTCGTGAGAAGATTAATTTATCACAAGGTGCCGTGCGTCGAGATGTTCAACATAGGGTCGACACTTTTAGTTTATGATGATGGGGTTTGGGATTGCTTTCCTTCTCATCTGCTTTTGGCACGATCATTGATGCTGACTGCTTAGCTCCCATCGAAAATAATAAAAAAAAAGGCTCATTTGACTTTGTAATTTGTGGTGTATCCTTTAATTTAGTCTTGTGTTGCAATGTAGCGCTGGCAAGCACATCCCTAGGGCCTGGGCCCACATCATGTGTTTATCCAAAGCATATAAAATACGACACAATATGCGTCAATTGATTACTATTTGGACGTACATTTGTCATGAATCATATGTACTGTATGTTACCTGGTGATAAATCATCACCTAAATTATCTATTACTCCTTTCATCCCAAAATAAGTGACTCAACTATTTTGAGACGGAGGGAGTACTTGATAGGACACCAGCCAAGCGCAGAACGTTATAATTAGGCATTTCGGTGATTAACCAATCGAGTCCTCCTTTTGAGGCCTACCAACGAGCTAACTGGACGAGAAGTACTGTCTATGCTACATTAGCTAGCACCTTGTCACCAACGACGCCTTCAATTACCACGATGGAAACCGCTTCCTGATTTGAACACGTATTTGCGCCAAGAAAAAAGAAGCCGGCATAGAGTGGTGATGGCGACGGCGGTGGAGCGGGCAGAGGCGGGACAGAACTGCGTCTGCGAACGTGTGAAGCTGCATCGACGCCACCTTCAAAATATTTCAGGTCCCGCGCCTAGCCCTCTCCCGCCGCGCCGCTGGTCACTCCGGCCGCGGTGGCCACCAGCGCCAGCCCCTGCCCACTTCGGGCAGTGACTCCTCCTCCAACATGGGTCGGCCGCGCTCCTCCCGCTCCAGCTCCAGCGGCAGCGCCCATGCTTCCCCCTGTGCCCCGCGGTCCTTTAGATGTCCCAATCCGCCGCGCCCTCGCTCCGTCCCAGATCTGGTTTCTCCGTCACGCTTGCTGCTCCGGGGCGAGTGCTCGGGCTGCACCCCGTCCCCTCTGGCTGCGGCTTCTCCGCCACGCTCGTTGCCCCACGGTGGCGGATCGGGTCAGGTCGCATCCCCGGTTTCCGCTGGCCAGGGCGCAATGCCCCCCTCGGACCGACAGCGGCTTAAATCCATCGTGGTGGTGCCTGACCAGAGCCTTAATACCTCTCCCGCGGAGGTGGGCGGTGGCTGGACGGAGGTCCTGTCCCGGGGAAATCGGCGGGCGTAAAAGGAGCTGCTGGTCAATGGGAGGCAGCGGCAGGCACCTCGTCCGGACCGGCGCTCTGGCTTCAATGCGGACCCTGGCCGCGCCGCCTTCTTAAGCCGCTTCAAAGGCAAGTGTTTCATATACCTCAGTGAGCTCCACCGTAGAAAAGACTGTCGTGATCCCCTCTGTTGCATCATCTGCAAGCGCCCGGGCCATTACGGTAGAGAATGTCCACAGAATCCTCGTTCTGCATCCCTCGGCGGCCCTGCAAAGAATCGGCTTGGCCCGGCCCCCGTCAGGGTGCCGGTGAGAGAGTGGATCTGCTTCCCCGTGCCACCGGC